GAATTAATCGTTGCAATTGAGGATTGCAACGATTTTTGCCTGGAATTATTAATTATTTTGTTGGACATTTGTTCTAAAGTCTGAACATTCGAAATTTTATGTACTTCGGTAGTACTGTATCAGGGAGGCAACTTCAAAATCATCTTCAGAACTTTGTTCTGAATCCTTTGAAGTGCTTTTTTCCTGGTAGTGCAAAAACAAGACCATATTGGCACAGCGTGAAGCATGGCCGGTCTAAAAACTTGTTCAAATATTAGAAGTATACTCGTCAGGCAAAGTTTGGACTGTTTATAAGATGATACAAACATGTTATATATTTATTACATTTGGCTTGAATGCCCTCCAATAAATATAAATAAATAAATAAATGTGATCTTTAAAAGTTAATTTTTGGTCAAGTACTAATCCAAGATATTTCACTTTGTTTGACCAGGAAATTGGAACTCCGTTCATAGTGACTATGTGACTACTACTAGGTTTCAAAAAGGAAGCTCTAGGCTTATGTGGAAATATTATAAGTTGAGTTTTGGAAGCGTTGGGAGAAATCTTCCATTTTTGTAAATAAGAAGAGATGTCTAAACTTTTCTGCAGTCTGCTGCAAATAACACGAAGACTTCTTCCTTTAGCGGAAATGCCTGTGTCATCAGCGAACAAAGATTTGTGGCAACCCTGAGGCAAATCAGGGAGGTCCGAAGTGAAAATGTTATACAATATAGGCCCAAGAATGCTACCCTGAGGAACTCCTGCTCTAACAGGTAGTCGATTAGATTTGGAATTTTGATAATTTACCTGCAGAGTTCTGTCAGTTAAATAATTTTGAACTAATTTCATAATGTAAAGTGGAAAATTAAACTTTTTCAATTTAGCAATCAAACCTTCATGCCAAACACTGTCGAATGCTTTTTCTATGTCTTGAAGAGCAATTCCTGTTGAGTTGCCTTCAGATTTGTTTGAACGAATTAAATTGGTAACTCTTAAGAGTTGATGAGTAGTTGAATGCCCATGGCGAAATCCAAACTGCTCATCTGCAAAAATTTAGTTCGTATTGATGTGAAGCATCATTCTATTTAAAATTATCTTTTCAAAAAGTTTACTTATTGAAAAAATCAAACTTATTGGACGGTAGCTAGAAGCTTCAGCTGGATTTTTATCCGGCTTCAATATTGGAACAACTTTTGCATTTTTCCATTTATCAGGAAAGTATGCCAAATGGAAACATCTGTTAGATAATTTTACCAAGAAAGACAAGGTACTCTCTGGGAGATTTTTGATGAGGATATAGAAAATTCCATCATCACCTGGAGCTTTCATATTTTGAAACCTTTTAGTTATAGACCTTACTTCGTCCAAATCAGTCCCCCAGGAATCATCAAAAATATTCAGAAAATCCCGAGCAACCTGATTCTCAATAGGACTAGTAAGACCCAAACTGAAATTATGGGAACTCTCGAATTGCTTATTAAGTTTCTGAGCTTTTCCAAATTTTTGATCAAAATTTTACCACCTTCTTTAAGCGCTGGAATAGGCTTTTGAGGTTTTTTCAAAATTTTTGTGAGTTTCCAAAAGGGTTTGGAACTCGGGCCTAATTTTCAATTTTTTTGTTCCTCAGGGCAGAGAATCGCTTTTTAATCTGTTTTTGCAAATCCCTCCAGATAACTTTCATGGCAGGATCGCGTGTTCTTTGATTTTGTCTCCTACGGACATGTTTAAGACGGATCACGAGCTGAAGATCGTCGTCTATTATAATTGAATCGAATTTAACCTAGCAGTTTGGTACTGAGGCAACTCTTGCTTCAACTATAGAAGTAGTCAGAGATTCAAGAGCATAATTAATTTCATCTTTGGTTTGCAAAGGAATGTTTGGATCGAAGTTATATTCCATAAATGTTCGATATTGCACCCAATCAGCTCTATGGTAATTGAAAGTAGAGCTGTTGGGATTACAAATTATTTCTTGGGATATTTCAAAAGTTACTGGAAGGTGATCAGAACCGAAGTCAGCATGGGTAACCAATTGGCTACAAAGTTGACATGAATCGGTTTAGACCAAATCAATAGTTGAAGGATTTATTGCTGAAGAAAAGCATGTTGGGCTGTTTGAATATTGAATAGTGTAATAACCCACAGAACAATCATCAAACAGGATATTACCATTGGAATTGCTTTGAGCATTATTCCATGAGCTGTGTTTTGCATTAAAATCACCAATAATGAAGAATTTAGACCTATGACGGGTAAGTTTCTGGAGGTCACCCTTGAGAAAAATCTTTTGCTGACCTACGCATTGGAATGGCAAATAGGCAGCTATAAACGTAAGTTGTCCAAATTTTGTTTCAACAGAAACTCCCAAAGTTTCAAAAACATTGGTTTCAAATGAAGAAATAATTTTATGTTTGATTCGTCTATGAACAATGATGGCAACGCCACCACAGGGTCCATCAAGATGATCATTTCTGGAAATTCCTCCAGTCTTCCTGAAGTGTTCCCACTTCACTCGGATATGGAGCATAAGGCTAGCTTTTTATAAGGCCTAAAGGTTGTTTAGTTCACTAGACTTGAAGTGAACTAAATAAAAATCATTAGAAATCCCGTTGCGCGAATCGCCAGGACGGGATTTTATTTTCATTTGGATTACTTGGAGTGGCACCACTGCGCAGTCCTTTCATGACAACCTTAACACACACGTTCAGTTTTGGTGTCCTTAGTAAAAAAAATTGTGCTGCTTCTCAGTAAGATACTTGAGAAGACATTTAAATCCGTCCAAGGTTTCAGCCAATACACGGCATTCACCCCGACGTCCAATTTGTAGTGAAAACTTAACTTTCACGAAGTTCAAAATTTCCATACGAAGAGCATGGAAATCGGAGGTGGTTATCACAATAGGAGGAATCTTTTCCTTCTTGGCATTAAGCCGGGAAAGTTTACTAGAATTTTTCTTGGATGATGGATCATTCTCATCATCCGTGAGCAAATCAAATTGATTACTCAAATTAACTTCATCAGAAGGGGGGTCAAGAGTTTGCCCCTTTCTTTTGCGTTTAGGCGCCATGCCGGCAGTAATTGTTTTTTTATCCAAATCGACTTCCAAGCAGATTACTATAAGAATCTCAAGGATCGAAGAGGAATTTTCCAATCGATATCCTAGAAGGGTTACCTCGGGTAGGGTCCAAACAAGGATCGAAGAGGAATAAGAGTTGAACATGGTAGAAATTTTACTGGTTGAGCACTGAAAAGTGCTGTTTAAATTTGTTGTAGCTTTAGGTAGTAGTAACACTTCCTTCAGCAAAAAGCAAATAGATCCGCACAGCAAGAGAGCACGATGCTGTCTGGGGGAATTTTATACTGATTACCCTCAAATCGGTTAAAAAAAGAGAAGTGAAAAGTGAGTGAGCAACACACGCATTTCACGTACATAAATACAGACACTTACTGAGGCAGTAGATTTAGTGGATATCGTCCGAACTTCGTAATAGAGCAAGATTTAACTGTGCTTCCATTTGAGGTTCCTATAATCATCAGAATTTTGCTTGCGCTACCCAAGGATGCAGTAAATGTGGTGCTGAATTCTGTTCAACAGACAAAAAGGAGGTTATGGTGGTATATGTTATCCAACCAGATGAAAGCTTACAACTTCAGTTTTCCCATTGTTTGAAAAATATTTCAAATCTGACGTACTCCTGTTAAATCAAAAGCTTAAAGCCATTTCTTACGGAAAATACCATCCGTTATCAATTTCCCCAACATCCGACCCATTGTGGTACGTGAGACGTGTGCCGAAAGTCAAAGTACCTACCTAAATAGACAATGATCAGACCAGAAAATAATTAGAATTCCGTTCGATGGCTTCCGGCCGATGGTTTCTCCCATCCAATCAATCGCATTAGCGGCCACCCCTTGCCTTGTTATTGCCTGGGCGTAAATAAAATATTTGCTCTATCGTATCCACCCCTGCACGTCACATCTGTATTCATTAACCCTTGACGGGAGCATTCAGTCTCTTGTTCAGCCCCAGTCGTTTATCGACATGTTCACTGCGGTTCTCCACGTGCGTTCCGGTAGTCAACGAGGTGTGGGGTTGGTGCGTAGTTGTGCAGCATTCCTGGGAAGATTCCAATATCTTCGGTTCAATGACTAGTGCCAAGCTTGGATCGAATGTTCGCCACCATCGGTCGGAATCAAGCGGTAGTACATATGATCATTTGTCGAGTCACTGATGCCTGATCATAAAGAATGGATGTAATTTGCGAGTCTATGGTGCTTCAATGAGCATACAAAGCTTACTGGCAATGAATGCCCAAAATAAAACAACGGACTCTTGTTTTGCTGGTGTTCATAGTTTGAAAATGTAATTGAATTACTGCTATTCGAATTACTCTTGTTAAGCATTGGATAATGAAAGCCATAACCTTTTACCAGATCATGACATCAATAATGGATTTCAAATTATTCGGAACGACATTTACTTCACTTTCGCATCATGAAATCAAATTTTATTGAAACGATTTCCGTTCATTCTCTTACTTAAGGGGAAAATTCAATTGCAATAAAGTTTACACATAAGCACACTCTACAACAATCTTGCTCGGTTCAACAACGACGGCAGAGACGACGTTCGAATAGAGCTCGGAGAGCTGCCATTTGGTGCGCGGTTATTCAGTTATCGTTCACTTCTTCTCAAGGATAAAAGACAGACGATTTCTGGTAAAATGGTCGTTTCTGTTTCACCACTTTTAGTAGCATCATTTTTTTAAATTAGCTGCAAACTGTATAGGTACTCTCAAGAAAATAACTTGCTTAACAGACAATACTATAAACATCAGTCATAAATCAAACTCAATTGTGAATCAAACAGTTTTAATTATCATCCTATAGATTATCCATGAATAGCTATTTTTGATTTTTGTTACTCTATTAAAGAGACTTTCAGCCTTAAGCTGGGTCGTCTCTATTTCAAGAATAGTTGTCATCTCACTCGTACATTTAAACCGAAAACCACTCACCTTCCACTATCCTGTGAGTCACTGTTCCATCACTGCTCTGACGAATTTCCTGCAAAAACAAGACTCACATTAAAGAATAGTCAAACAACAGCTTAAAACAGACATACATACAGACAGACAGATAGCCAGTTCATTTTTATGTACAATCAAATTGAAACTTTTCGTTTTTTTTTTTCTTAGGACAGAAACAACCAAAAAGTGATAAATAAGGGTCACATGGGAGTGCGCAAAAAAAAAGTTCCTGAAATCAATACAAATTCGAATTGACAGCTGTTACACAACTTACACAAGAGGGGGGAAAACCTCGGAGTCAGGGAAGGGAAACGAATGATAAGAAACACCATTATTTCAATTACAAGATGAAAATCGATGGCGAAAAGTACGGGATGGAAAACAAAGTGGAAAAGAAAGCACAAATATGCATGTAGTACTGTACATAGACCAAAAGCAACATTCTGTTGCCGATCTCAGATGTTGAAGCTTCTTTATCCTCCATTCGCATTAGGTCCTTTGTCGGAAAGGCGTACATGAATCATGGGACCGACGAGGGTCTTCCGATAGACGTTCGAGTAAAGTGACGTGTTTGTAGAGCATTCCATGCCGTAGGTAGTGAGTTCGTTTCATTTCAGTTTAGGAGATTTTCTCGACCTTTCCAGAGCATAATTGGTCATTAATCAAATGGTTATGATTTTGTTGATAATGATGTTCCACTATTGTCGATGAAGGACCTCATCTGTTTCCTGGACGTTGGTTGTTTTTAAGATGTTGAAGACTAGGAATCCCAACATCGTCCCAGCGTTAAATGCTAAAGTGGGTGTCATTTGTTACACTGTTGATTGCGTCCTTTTCGTTCATCGTCCTCGTCATGTTTGCTATTGGCTTGTCTTGGACAGTCCCAATCAGATTTGCAGAATTTTTTTCTCATGCGACAATGTTTTTCTCATCCGGTGCTCGGAAGGATGAGGTGAAAAACTCTAGGAGATGTTTTTTTTTAACTGGAAAGCGGATTACGAAATTAAAGCTCGGTTCTCAAGTGTAATTTGTTTTGTGACAAATCGCTTCAAATGGTTTCGAGAGAGAAGATAAGATGGATTCTACTTATAGGAAGATAGTTATCCTAACTTCAAAATTATGCATGTAGAAATTTACTTCGCTGGCTTTCAGCCCTGATTGAGCTGCGATCAGACATTAGAGCAATTCCATGCCAAATAGGATAGAAAAATAAAAATGTAGTCCTAAATTTGTAAAAAAATCAAATAATTTTTTTCGGGAGGTTAATCTTTTTCTTAAATAAGGTCAATGGATATTTTTGGTCACTATTGCAAATTTAGTCGATTTTATGGGCCCAAATTAGGGGCAGTTAGGGCGACCTTACATCCCTTTTCCATACTCCAAAAGATTGAACTTTTATTAAAAAAGTAGAAGGGTCTGTGCCTAGGGGCACGAACGGAAGCTTGACGTAGGACCGCTAGTGGACGGAACAAATGTGAACATTTAGTTCTTTTAATTGATCAATCATCAATTATCTTAACTCTTTCCGTTTTTTATTTGTAAGCCTATCAAATTTGTAGTATTTATTTCACAGAGAAAGTTGATGAAGAGAATCCAAGGGACTGACAACTTGAGTATTTTCGATTCATCTATCCGACTTTAAAAGGTGTATTTTGAATTTTTTGTTATTTATGAATTTTTAAGTTTTGTGCATTTTGGTATTGAAGTGTATTTAATTCATCCCTCACAGGATTTCCTTCCGAATTATATGAATGGGGCGGGGCGGAAAGTATCGTTTGTGCAGAATATGTAAAAAAGGAGGGACTTCAAGAGATTGAACTCGTGAGAGCTAATTTTCTCACAAATTTGATTTTATTGGCTTTCTGGGGACTGAATATACACCCAAAGTGAATTATTCCCACTTCTCTCAAATTCTATATGTATTTTTAACACTTCCTACCAGCGTGTTCTGGAAAATGGTCGGACGAGATTAATCTCACCAATACATTCGGGCCTACAATTCCACACCTTCTATAGATACCAGGTTCAGCCTTGCGGGAAGTGATGACCTTGACAAATGTCCAAATAAGACTCTTAACAAATTTATGGTGGTAGACCATTTTGTAGTGATGGTTGAGTAATGCTGAGCTGAGCACGACGAGCTACTGATTCCGATCCTAGCCTACCGGTGGGACTTCTTCCTCCTTCTCTATGGTTGCTCATATGAGCTCTGCAGCTCGGTGCTTGCCGGCAGCCTTTCGTTGTGGTTGTTGAAAGCACTCCTGATGCTGCTACTGCTGCTGCTACTACTGCTGCTGCTGGACTGGAGTCCACCAATTACGGTGATTGAATGAGCACCGTTCAGTGGGACCGCATCGAATTCGATTTTTAAGTCTGTGTTAGGGAATGCGCTGTTTTCAGACATTCGGTGATAATTTTGATCACCATTGCAACAGTTGGACATTTGGTATTTTTCAATAGTGACCTATTGAAAATTAACTGAGTGTTCATTTTAGCAGATTGGTAGATACATTTCCAATCGTTTGGCTTGTTTAGAATTAAAATATATCTGCTATTGGTCGAAACCTGACCTCTTTTCGTAATGCTGTGCATTTTGGTTTTTTTTAAATTGCGTGGATTCTATAGATCCTGTGGAGATCTATCTAGCCCTGATGTATGTGTTGGTAGAGGGAAAAATGTAAACTTTGCGGGAGACGATGTCTTAACACTCGAAAGCAATTTTGTGAAATATGAAGTAAAACAAATCCTAGCTAGTTCTGCATGATGATTTTGTTTGATTTTATTTATTTGTAAAGTATCCGAAATACCAGCTGGCGATTTGTTTTTTTTATGATAATTCCTTACTTGAAAACAGGCAAAAACTCACAAACAGGCTGCTTTTTCATGGTATACAGTGTGATAATTCAATAATCAATAAATTATCTCAACATTTAGTGGCAAACCATTCATAAATTTTGGTAACAAACAAAAAATTCTATAATCCACATTAAATTTCAGATGTAAGCGCCGATTGAAACAATCTTTTCGACGTCACTACAAGGGTGATTGATTAAACGAAAGAAACGAATGGTGCGGAATGAAAGCCGAGGAAAAACTAATTGCACCAATATATTCAGACCTACAATTCCACACCTTCTATAGACAGGTTCAGCCTTGATAGCTAGCTGCTTGCGGGAACTGATGACCTTGACCAATGTCCAAATAATACTCTTTAACAAATTTTTGGTGGCCCTGAAAAGGACCGTTTTGTAGTGATGGTTGAGTAATGCAGAGCTGGGTGTTAAACACGGATGAGGCTGTCGAGCTGTATGTCGTTTGGAGCAAGGGTGACACGCTTGGCATAGATGACCGACCCACAGCGACTCACGAAGAGTTACTGATTTCGATCCATAGCATAGCGGTGCAGCTTCTTCCTCCTTTGATGGTTGCTTATGTGGGCTCTGCAGCTCGCTGCTTGCTGGTAGCCTTTCGTTGTAACTAGAGAACCATTTTCAACGCCACACGCCGAAAACACTGCTCCTGCTGCTAGTGCTGCTACTAATTTCGACGACCGAACACCACCACACAGTGGTGTGGTCGTTGGGAGCGTGTGGTTCTGAGTATGTCGATGAGTGTGCAAAATATTACGCAATTCCATCCTCCCTATTCGCACGCGCCCGAGGATCGGAGGCGAATGCCACTTCAACTTGTTTCGTCTACTTACTACTCTCTGACGACTGTGCTGGGGAAGCAGCATATGCATGTAGGTAATTGGTGGATTTGTTAGTTAATTCGACGGTTTTAGACAATGCTGGACATTTACCAGTTTTTCAATAGTTTCTTGTTGAAAATTAACATTTGGAAGCATTGTTATCGATGCGTAGCCATATTTCTGATCGATTGGTGATAAAATTATTGAAATTGGACCAGGGGCAGCTGAGTTATTAACGTTCAAAATCTTTCTTAATTTGTTACATGTTCTATTTTCAGTTTTCACAAAGTGTAGCCCCATATAGAAATCAAAGACGTAGTCCTACGTCAAAAAATAGAAACTTAATAAATGCGTCATTCCACGTGATCGAGAAGAAATGCAAAAGTGAAATTTTGTCCAAATTTGGAGACGATGTTTATTTTTTTCACAGGTCGCAGTAGGCTCTGCTCAAGAGTGGTTGATTTTCTCTTTAGATGTCTTGTTTTTGCTTCGTATTGAATTTCCGGTTAGAATTTCCCGTAACAGTTTCCACCCATGTCACGTGTTGCCACCATATCCTGTGTTCGATAGTTGTTAAAGTCATATACGTCATATGTGTTTTTAAATAACCGGAATAGGAGGATCCATTGTGTGCTAAGAAGGATGTGCATGTGCAAGTGCAATCAAAATCAGGCATGTTACAGATCATTCCGATGGAGCACGAAATGAGCCTAGCCTTCTTGATTCGTGCACCTATGTCGCTCTTGGTCCCACCGTCCGACGCTATTTGGCTGCAAATATATTGGAAACTTTCGACCTTCTCCACTGCTTGCCCCGCTACCGTAAAGTTGCAAGGGTTGCCGGTGTTGATATCCAACGATTTAGTCTTGTTGACGTTGATGGTGAGACCTGCCGTAGAGGAGCGTTCGGCTAGGTCATTGAGCTTACTCTGCATATCAGAGCGCCGTTGTGCTAGTAGAGCAACATCATCAGCCAAATCGAAGTCGTTGAGATGCTCCGTGGTGATAGGCTGCCAAAGCAGCCCACGGTTCGGTACACGGTCAATTGCACCTACCATGATCTCGTCGATTACGATGAGAAACAGCAGCGATGATAGTATACATCCTTGTCTCACAACAACGACTACCCGGATAGGGTCGGACAAGGCTCCGTTATGCAGAACTCTGCACGTAAAAGCCTCATACTGCGCTTCGATGAGGTTGACGATTTTATCCGGGACTCCCTTCCGTCTCAGGGCGCCCCACAGATTCTCGTGATTGAGACGGTCGAAAGCTTTTTTGTAGTCAATGAATACTAAATAAAGGGACTCTTGGAATTCATTGACCTGCTCCAGGATGATGCGGAGC